CTATAATGTTACTGTAAATTACAAACTTATGCGGATGATACACAACTATATTTGAGTTTTCCGTTGTCAGAGATTGAAAGTGCAAATAGTCGTTTAAATCAAGATATCGAACGGGTGGTGAATGTATCGGAAGGGCACGGTCTATTGATTAATGGTACGAAATCATCAGCTATTATATTCGGTAGAAGTAAAGACCTTGGTCCTGCCAGAGCATCATTGAGCATTCGTGTGGGCGGCGATGAATTGCGCGTAGTTGATACTGTAAAACTCTTGGGGGTATGGCTGGATTCGGATATGCGTTTTAATACACATATCAATCACTTAATTAGATGTTCGTATGCCACGCTAAAGTCTTTATACGCTGTTCGCGCGGCAAATAACCGGGAAACCAAAAAATTAGGTGTTGGTTCTTAATTGAAACAAGATTGTAATGAAGACAAATAATAAAACAAAAAAATCGCAAATGACTAAATTTAATAAATGAAATTGAAATTATAATTACCTTTGATTTAATCTAACGGTAAGCGTGGGTGGACGTGCTTGCAGAACGTGGTGATTTTTTAACGATTGACACGTGCGATCGAAAATGTGATTTTTGTCTGTGTGTTTTAAACTTGAAAAACTCCAGGTTGAGCCGGCGCACATGCGCACATAACTCAGACCTGGGGTGAAGATAAAAAGGTTAAATGCAGGACAAACATTCCGCCCACCAACAAATGTGACCGTGAACATTTTTAAATAATAATTAAGGAGGTAAGAAAAATAAACTAAAGTAAAATACATAAAACAATGACTTTGAATTTAGAAACTTAGAGGTATAAACAAAGGTAGGGAAGTTTATCGTTTTTAAATTGGTAACGGACAAATCTTAACCGTCGGTCGCTTCAAGTGTCCATGATTGGTTTTAAGTGTTACGACGCGAACAATTCCGTCTGCTCCTGGGTGCAACGCTTCGATCCGTCCCAAATCCCAGTGAAGCGGAGGTAGATTTTCATTTTTTATGAGAACCAGGTCCCCAACGGATGGATTCGAAGATTTGGTCGTCCATTTTGATCGCTGTTGGAGTGTGTGGAGGTAATCACGTCGCCATCTCTTCCAGAAATCCTGATTCATGCGTTGAATCAGTTGCCAGCGGTCCAACCTATTGAGAGGTACGTGTGACAGATCGGGATCTACAATAGAATTGTTTATAGATTCAAGCATCAAAAAATGAGCTGGCGTAAGAGCTTGAAGGTCGTTAGGATCACTGGAAAGGGGGGTTAGAGGTCGTGAGTTAAGAACGGCCTCAATTTGAGTGAGAACCGTATAAAGTTCTTCAAAGGTGAGTACTTGTTCTCCGATGACCTTTACTAAATGACTCTTTGCCGATTTCACTCCTGCTTTCGCTAATCCATTGAAATGTGGCCCTTCCGGGGGTTTTAAATTTCCAATTCAAACCCAATTCAGTGCCTGACGCCTCCGCCATTTCTTGTAGTTTGTTAGATGCTCCAACAAAGTTAGTTCCTTGGTCTGAAATCAACAATGAACAACGGCCTCGGCGAGAAATAAATCTCCTTAGAGCGGCTAAAAAGGCATCTGTTGACAGACCTGAAACTAATTCGAGGTGAATAGCTTTGGTGGCGGTACAGACAAACACACAAATATATGATTTCACCCGCTTTGAACCTCTACTTCTGTTCAATGTTGTGAACACCGGCCCGGCGAAGTCTACGGCAGCACTGGAAAAGGCCTTCACTTCTTCAATTCTATAACGAGGGAGATCCGCCATCACAGGTGCATAAGAACGTGGTCGTGTCTTGAAACATTGAAGGCATCTGGATATCACGCGCTGAATTACTGATCGAGAGGCGATGATCCAGAACTGCTGATTCACCAAACTCAACAATGTTCGATAACCCGGATGTAGAAACTGATGATGAATGTCCTCCACTACTAGTTCACTTAATCGCGAATTGCGAGGTAACAACACGGGATGTTTCTGCTCAAAAGGTAATCCAGACTTTTCCAAACGTCCACCCACCCTGAGCAAACCGTCTCGATCGATAAATAAAGCGAGATGACGAAATGGTTTTGGAAGAACTTTATTATTTCTGATATCAGAAAATAATTGGGAAAAGTTTTGATGCTGGATATGACCGATAAGTGAATATAATGCACTTTGGATTTCAAACGGAGACAAAGATAATGAATAGTTTCTCTTTTTTCTTTGACACTGAAGAATAAATCTTTTACAATAAGCGATAATACGTTTGATTTTTAGTAAAGAAGAGAATTTACTCAAGAGAATGTCAAAAATAGTGGTTTTAATTTCTGTAGAATGTACTAAAATATTTCTCTGTTCATTAATTACTTCTGGTGGTTTAGGATTGAATGATGACTGGGAAGGCCAATTATCGAAGTGATCAGAGAGCCAAGACGGACCCTGCCACCAAAGTTCAGAATCAATTAATTGTTCAGGGTTCAAACCGCGAGAACTGCAATCGGCGGGATTGTCCGAGGACGGAACATAACGCCAATGTTGTCTAGGTAAGATTTCTTGAATGGTATTGACACGGTTAGCTACAAAAACTTTCCATGTTTGAGGTTCAGATGAAAGCCATGAAAGCACGACTCGTGAATCCGACCATGCCGTTACAGATTCAAAATGAATACTTTGGGATAGAATTTCATGAATGTTTTCAAAAAGTTGGGTTAGGAGAACAGCTCCACAGAGTTCCAAGCGTGGAATGGTAAGAGTTTTTAATGGTGCTACACGAGCTTTAGCACAGATAAAATAAGTAAGAAATTGATTAGACTCGTTTTCAGTTCGAATGTAAGCAACAGTGCCGTAGCCTATTTGAGAGGCATCACAAAACAGATGTAACTGACACCTGACGAGATTATCCGCGATTATGAAACGGGAAAGATTAAACCTTGACAATAGGGAAAGCTTGGTTTTAAATTCTTCCCATGTTTTCTTTATATGATCTGGAGGAGTATCATCCCAGGAGATCTGCAATTGCCAGAGTTGTTGCATAATATGTTTGGCTTTCAATGTACATGGGGTTAGAAAACCCAAAGGGTCATAGATACGAGCCATTGCAGATAAAATAGATCTTTTAGTGCATGAACTATCGCGAGGAGTATAGGAATAAAGGAACTTATCTGTTTCTGGATCCCATTGGAGACCTAGGACTTTTACACATCTAGTGTTTTCATAATCCAGTGAAATTGGACATTGTAAATCGGCCTTTGACATTTCTCGGAGAACTTCAGGACAGTTACTAGCCCACTTTCTCAATTGGAATCCACCATTTCCCAACAAACTAATCAATTCTTGTTTTAAATTAAGTGTTTCTTCTACTGACTGAGCTCCGGTAACAATGTCATCTACGTATACGTTAGTTTGTAAAACTTTAGAAGCATTTGGAAATTCATTGGAATAGATGTTTGATAATTCAATTAGCGTTCGTAAAGCTAAGAACGGAGCAGATGCTACTCCATATGTTACAGTATTCAATTCATAGGTTTGTATGGGATCATCAAGAGAGAATCGCCATAAAATATTTTGAAAGCTTCGATCATGAGGTGATACCCGAATCTGGCGATACATTTGCTTGATGTCACAAATGAAAGCGTATTTAAATAGTCTAAAATTAATTAAAATGTGTATAATATTTTGTTGCAGTTTAGGTCCAATCAGCAACATATCATTTAATGACTTTCCGTTGGAGGATGATGCAGACGCATCAAAAACTACTCGCAGTTTAGAATTTGGATCTTCGTTCCGAAGGATACAATGGTGCGGAATGTAATAATTATTGGAGCTAGGACAGGGTGAAGGAACTAAAGACATATGATTTGATTTTAAATAATCTTTCATGAACTCGAGGTACTTATCACGAAGAGAGACATTTTTCAGAAGACGATTTTCCAATAATTTAAAACGTTTTAAAGCAACATTGTAGGAATTTCCCAAATTCGGTTGGTTTTGTTTGAAAGGTACAATGAAACGTCCATCGGTATCACGTCGATAATTATCTTTGTAATGATTTTCACACTTTTCGTCGTCTATCGTCATAGATTTAATTTCAGGAATTGATTCGAGCTCCCAAAAACGTCGCATTGATGAATCCAAGGATTCTTCCATCGTAGAAATGCATGTTGATAAGGAAGTCGTTGATAATTCAGCTTTACCCATTAATATCCAGCCGAAAATGGAATGGAGAGCTACAGGATCATTCTGATCACCTCACACTCGACCACCAGTAAAAAGTTGAGGAATTAATTCTGCACCCAATAACAAGTCCACTTCCTTCGATGGGGAGTGATGTTTTGGATGGAAATCAAGATATTTAAGATGATCATAGGACCGAATAATAGAGGATAGTGATGGTTGAGGAGAACAAATCGAGGATGTAACTATGGCTTTGAGATCAAAGATAAAGTTTTGGGATTGGCATGATTGGATAGTAACGTTAATTTATTAAGTTTTGGGCTTGATGTTGAAGAAGGAGCTTCCTTTGTCAAATCAGGTTTTGGAGATAAGTGTAGAGATAAAGCTTTAATTGTATAGTATGCGGTATCAGCTTTAATACGAATTTCGTCATGGGCAGGAAAATCATCATCTTCAATGAGTCCAATAATTTGATTGTGGCTCTCTTGAAATGCATTGTAATTTTTTTCAGCGTCTTGAGCTCTTGCGGAGAAGATAAGTTTTTGGACAGGATCATCGGGTAAATTTTGACCGAGAGCCAAGGATTCAAGTAAACGATTATAGAAACCGTCACGACGCAGGGTAAGTCTGGTAAGTTTATCACTCATAATGGCAGTTAATAAAAATAAATCCAAGAAATTAATTCTAATCCCCACAGAAAATGGAGAAAAAAATAATAAACTCAAAACTCGAAGAAATAAATTCCAAGTTGGATTTTGAATAAAATAAAGGATAAATAAAAAATAAATTTCAAAAGGAAAATAAACGAGAAAAACCGAAAGATTAATTGTAATTAGTGCAAAATAAATGATAGAGAATTCCAGGTGAATAAATCTCGATGAGGAAAGTAATTTTAAAAAATAAAGAATTTATATTTCAAAAAACAAAGAAAGAAAACCCAAAATTAAACGAAATCTGACGCTAAAAATAGCGTAACAAGTTTCAGGTTCTCCAGATGTCCCACAAGAGATCGGAACAACGTGGAAGAACGCAAAAAACGTGGGTTAATAATCGAAAAATTGTAATAATACGGCGTAAAAACGCAAAAAAAAACCAAATAAAGATAATTAAACAAATTATAAATTAACTCCGGAAAGGATCCGGCTCGAAGGACCAATGTTCGCGCGGCAAATAACCGGGAAACAAAAAAATTAGGTGTTGGTTCTTAATTGAAACAAAATTATAATAAAGACAAATAATAAAACAAAAAAAATCGCAAATGACTAAATTTAATAAATTGAAATTATAATTACCTTTGATTTGATCTAACGGTAAGCGTGGGTGGACGTGCTTGCAGAACGAGGTTATTTTTTAACGATTGACACGTGCGATCGAAAATGTGATTTTAGTCTGTCTGTTTTAAACTTGAAAAACTCCAGGTTGAGCCGGCGCACATGCGCACATAACTCAGACCTGGGGTGAAGATAAAAAGGTTAAATGCAGGACAAACATACGCCAACCGTCACATTTTAAGCACGCAAAGTAGAGCCTTGCTCACTGACACGTTGATACTTTCTCGGTTTAATCACTGCAACGCTGTTTATGGACCTCATCTGCGTGCAGATGCTGCAGCACGAGTCCAACGAGTCCAAGGGGCGTGTCTCCGTTTGATATTTGGTATACGTCGAAATCAAAGGATCTCTTACAAGTTGCCCGAGATACGGTGGCTGAGTATGAAAGCAAGGAGAATTTTTCATGAGGGAGTATTATTTTTCAAAATTATTATGTTCAAAACTCCGGCTTACTTGCACAATAAAATCAGATTTAGAACGGACGTTCATAATATAAACGTCCGCAGAAAGAACTGCCGTCTATCCTGCCTCATAGCACCCAACTGTTTAAAAGGTCTTTTTCTTACAGAATTGCTGATTTTTGGAATTCTCTGCCGGAAGCTTTGCGCTCTAAACAATCAGTGTTTTTTGATGTTGCTTGAAAAAACAATTTGTGTTTTGTCACGTTTTGCGTGTTTTCTCGATTTATCTGTTTTCTTGTATTCTTTTCTTATTTATAGTATTTTCGGGCGATTGTGAAAATCAGAGTTGTTTATCTAAACCTCCTCTGACAATCGTCCGAGTTGACTTGATTTAATTAATAGTATTTTTATTTTGATATGTTATTATATGTTTGAATTAGGTTTTTGTTATCAAGTCAATAAATGAATTATTGTTATTGTAAGCCATTTCAGAAGCATCGCTGAAACCATGCATTTCTACCATTGCAAAATCTGTTAGCAAAATGTGTCGATCAATTTGTAGTTTTGCCAAATATTGCAATTCCTCATAAAGCCTCTTGAATGATGTGTAAAGTTCGATAGGTACAGCTTCATCTCACGTGATTCCCAGCTGCCACAAACGCTGTAAAACTACCTTTGCTTTGATCGTGCTGATGCGACACAACACAAGGCACCACAACACATTGCGACACACAAATATAAATCTCAGCATAATAAATGTATTTAACCGATACCGTTCTGACGCGTCACAACACGACACGTCAGACAAATATAAATCCAGCTTTATTTGCAACGTTTTATAGCTAAAAAATGTTTTATTGCTAAATTTTATAGCTACGACAAAATTATATTTAGGAAATAAAAAAAACGTGATATTATAAAATTTTTATTGATTTTTAATAATAATAATAATAACTCCTAGACAAGAAACGTTTACAATTCTTATTCCTTTTTTTATATTACCTTGATCCAATCAGAGCACTCTATGTACAATAATCGAAAGTAGTTATTTTCTCAGTTAACGTTAACAGGGCAAAGGTGATGATGGGTAGCGAAGGCCCCAAGCACGGCCTACGTATTAATATATTATTTATTTATTATGTATATTATATATATATAGTGTACACCATTTCGCGTTATTTAAAAGTTACAATTAAAAACCCCCCATTTATTTTTTAATTTTATTTCCTATGTAGTATTCTTATTAATCGACTCACCCAGACAACAATTACTAAAATATATCCGGACACCGCGACCAATCCTGTTTCTGTTTACAACCCCAATACTCGCCTTTATAAACATGTATAAACGTACCTGTATCTTCGTCTTTTACTTGTCTAAACCATATCGGTTCGTATGGCTCAACAGGAATACCTTAAAAATAATTACAAATCAATATATTTGTTTTTTTTTTGGAAATTTAATAAAATTAATACCCGATTGTTGAGCTTTCTCGGCATCAGCTTCTCGCTTTCTCCTAACAGCCCTTTGTTTCTCCTCCAACCTAACTTTCTCTTGATTCGCTTTATCCCAATCTTGTTCTTCCATCAATCGCTGATCCGGACGTAATCTCGAATCCGTAGGGGCAACCCCATCTTCAAGTTCGTTCAATTGACAAGCTAACTCGGTAAAATTATAATATTTTTCCGCTTCAGCATCGGGCATTCGACGTTTCCAAGCTGTTAAGGGTGCCGCCGTTTCATAAACGGGATTATTTTGGGCGTTTCCCGACGAATTTCCGGTTACTTTACAAATTTCCACTTTGCCGTCCCACGTTCCGTTTACGATCCATTTAACTTCGCCGGCAGAGTCCATTACGGCCCCTTTTACTCGGCGTTGCGATTCTTTGGTGAAGTAGGAGTACGGTACGTATTTTAGATGGCACGTTGATCCCGTTGCGGATCCTCTACCGATGATGTCCATGTCGCCGTGATGGTCGACCCATAACTTTCCCACGATTATGTTGTGGATGGTTGTTGTTACTTTTCGCCACGAGTAACGGTTGCCATTATCGAATTCTACGTAAGCGATACCTAATGGAACAATCTAGAAAGAAAATTATAATCAATAACGAGCTCCTACGTCAATCTAAAAGAAATAAAAGTGGTGTTGTGGATGAAACTAAAAAAATGGATGCATCGGAAAATTGAATAACCAAGTTATATTTTCAATATTTAAAATTTTCGCAAACAGCAGAAACCCTATGCTTCTTGAAGCAAAAATGGGAATAAAACTATGGATACCGCCCTATACTTGGTGGTGGGACGCATCAAGCAAGCACTTGATTCGAAAGAGTCTATTTTGGGAGCTTCCCTTGACATAGGGGGAGCGTTTAACAAAACCACCTTTAGTAGAATTAATCTGGCAATGAAATCTTGAAGAGTGCCATTGGTGTTGCCAATAGGGAAGCAAACCCAACACTTTTTAGCCACACGAAATTACCAGATGTTTCTTAAAGAAAATTTTCTAATCTCTTATATAAAAAAGTGTTGGGTGCTATTGGGTTGTTATTAGTATGCTACTAGGTTACAGAATAATACAGAAACGAAACTGTCCTTTAAATGTGAAACTCGGCCGCCATCTTGATGGTAGTTATATTAGATCACATGTTTGTGTTTTGGTCGGTAACACAGGTCGATTCTGTTGTTGCCATTGTCTTTTGAAAGTTTTCTTGGTGTTTATGTAGAGCTGTGGTATTAATCTTGAAATTTTTTTTTAATAAAAGTATATTACGATGAGTCCTAAAGGGGTCCATACGTGTTTTGTTCGTAGTTGCAAAACTAATACATCAGACAAAAACATTCGTTTATTTCGATTGCCTAAAGATAGAACAAAGTAAGTATTTATTATGTTTATATTTATTAATATTTATGTACATTATAATTTCATTACGGTTTATATACCAAATAGATAGAAATTGAATTTTATGGAATTCAACAAGAAAAGAAATTTTTAGTATGCATTCAGCCCAATCTGTAAAGAGTTGGACTTTATAAAACATAATAAAATAAGAATATTATATCTCTAGTGTCAGGTATAAAGGGCTTAAGTCACAAAATGGCACTTTTCAATATAGTAACAGAGTTAAGTCAGTTTGTTTTTCCCTTTCGATTGGTATTGTGGGCTTAAGTCTAACACCAACTGCTGCTACTATTTTAAACCGGTCTATAGGCTACAAGTCAGAACGTGTCTTATCTTGTTCGGTATTATAATCGTAAGTTGACATAAGCCCTTTTGAGCAACCAATTTAAAACTACGCAGACGTCCCTAGAGACTTAAATTGACTTAGGTCTTTCATATACAGTTCCTATCAGATGTTCAACGAGTAAACACGTGTAACTCTGCTCCGCGAGTTTAATTTAATAACTTTTCATAGCGAATCTTAATTCATCGCAATGCCGAATCCGGAAAAAACAAGGTTTCCATCCGAGCGACGAGAGCTAATTAAATCTTGCATAGTAGACATAATAAAAGATAATGAGTTTTTAAAAGTCTTACGTGAAACCATTGCTGGTGAGGTTGATCGTGTTTTTGCGGATAAAATCCAGTCTCTTAAAGAGAGAGTGCGTGAATTGGAAGACAAGAACGTCGACTTGGCGGACAAGTACGATGCGTTAGAGCAATACTCGCGGCGGTCAAGCGTACGGGTTTTGGGTCTGCAGCAGTGCCAGCCCGAAGAAGTTGAAAATAAAGTAGTTCAACTCTTTAAGGATAGACTTGGTTTAGAAATCAATCGAGAGGCAATTGACCGATGTCACACTATCGGGAAACCGAGAAACAATATTCAGAATATAATCGTCAAGTTTGTCAGCTACCGTGACCGCAAGAAAGTAATGGAAAACAAAAAGAAATTAAAGCACTCCAAAATTACAATTGTGGAAGACTTAACACGGTTGCGTTATAAAGTGTATCGAGAAGCAATTAATAAGTTCAGCTATAAATTAGTTTGGACTCACAACGGTGTAATCCATATTGCCGAAAATGGAAAAGTGAGGTCGTTAATGGACTTAAATAAAATCACATCCGGTGTGGTGGAGTAAGAGAAATTTTCAGTTTTTTTTACGCGGAGCAAGGGGTCATCAACACGTTTTGTTTCTCTTGTATTTTTTTTTTTTGTATTTGAACTAAATTCTTTTGTTTGATTATTATTATTATTATTATATTCTTTTACTTGTTATTTTCATAAATAAGTATATATATATATTTTTTTTCTTTAATTGTTTTTCAGGCTGAATTTATACGGGGGTTTTAAGGTTGGTCACTTGAATGCTCGCTCACTGCTACCAAAAGCGGATGAGGTTGCTCTCTTGATCGGGGAGCAGGTATTTGATCTGTTTGCAGTTGGTGAAACATGGCTGAATGATTCGATTCCTGATGAAAATATTGCTATAGATGGTTATAACTTATTCAGGCGTGATAGACAGGGGCGTGGTGAAGGAGTATGTTGGTTTGTACGAAATAATTATGCTTGTACAGTAATAGACACAGTAGATAATTTGGAACACCTATGGATTAAGCTAACGGTAAGAAGTAAAACTTTTGCTTGTGGCGTTGTTTATAGACCTCCTAATGTAGCATTAGGTGAATTTTTAACTTCTTTTGAAGACATTTTGGGGTATGTTAATATGATAACCGATGAAGTGATATGTGTAGGTGACTTGAATATCGATATGCAAAAAAATAAGGTTAATGTATCTGAGTTAATGCAAACTTTGGAGGTATTCGGGCTGCATCAAATAATCACAAAACCAACGCGGGTAACGGACAAATCAGATAGTTTACTGGATTTAATATTGGTCTCCAATGAGGACTTAGTTGTTGATAGTGGTGTGCTTGATTGCGAGCTGTCAGATCATGCGTTGGTGTATGTTGAATTAGACCTCACAACTCAGGTGAACCCCGTTCTTTTCAAAACATATAGAGACTTTTCAGTCTTAAATGAGCAGGTATTTTATGATCATCTAAAATCTCTGCCCTGGCGTAACATATATGACTTACATACAATTGACGAGAAAGTGGCCTTTCTAGTCTCTAATATATCAATACTTCTAGATTTGCACGCACCCTTAAAAACGTCACGAATAACAAAACCAAGCGCACCCTGGTTGACACCTGATTTAAAAATAGTCATGCGGGATCGGGATAGGAAGCTCAGTGTGTATAAACGAACGCGAAACCCGTTACTTTGGCATGAATACAAGCACTTGCGTAAAGAAAAAATATATTTGGAAAGTTTGATGGGGAAAGGTAACACTGCGAATACCTGGCATATGTTAAAAACGTCAAAGCTAATAAAAGCAAAGCACAAAACTTTACCGGATCATTTACAAGATGCATCCGGTATTAACAACTACTTCATAGATGCAATACCGAATGTGCGCAGTGCTACTGATAATGATCTATATACCGGAATAAGTAATTTAATTCAAAGCACTTTAAAGTTTTGCCCTGTGACCGAAAACGAAGTAGTTTTTGCTATTAAATCAATTAAATCAAACTCGATGGGATCAGACGGTATCTCAGTCAAAATACTTAATTTTTGTCTTCCTTACTTGCTTCCCATAGTCACTCATCTCATCAACTTCTGTATTGCGGATAGTGTATTTCCGGCTGCGTGGAGGTTGGCAGCTGTCCACCCAATCCCCAAGGTTGGTAACCCTATTCTTTTTTCTGATTTTTGATCAGTATTTTGCCAGTGATGTCATAGGTATTAGAAAAAGTAATTAACATGCAATTAAAGAAACACTTGGAGATAAATAAAATATTACCGGTTGTTCAGTCGGGATTTAAGGAGGGACACAGCTGCACTACTGCCTTGGTTAGTGTACTGGACGACATTCTCTGTGCTACGGATAGAGGTTTGGTGACTGTGCTGGTTCTTTTAGACTACACAAAGGCTTTCGACACCGTAAATCACAGTCTTTTGCTTTCAAGTTTGTGCCATCTGGGTCTGGAGGAGACAGCGGTGAATTTTTTTCGTTCTTACTTGTCGGATCGCATGCAGTATGTCAGGCTATCGGGTGAGAATGTATCTGGGGCTCGGTATTTGAAATCCGGAGTTGCTCAGGGTTCTGTACTTTCACCAACGTTGTTTTCAATTTATACCTCGGCTCTTACACGAAGTTTTAAACACTGCAAGGTTCATTTGTATGCGGATGATACTCAGGTATATATTTCCTCAAAACCTGACGAGTTGGGCCGTGCCATTGCAATTTTAAATGAAGAGTTGAATAACCTGGTCTTGATGGCTAACCAGCACAGTTTGATCATCAATCCAAACAAATCAAAAGTAATGTTTTTTGGGCGACAAAAAGATACAATTGAGTTAGAATCGCATGTTAAGGTTATGGTTGATGGATTAAGGCTTCCTTTAGTAAAAGAAGCTCGGAATTTGGGTCTGATAATTGACCAGGGAATGCGATTCCGGGGACATATATCATCTATTTTACAGGCGGCATATGCAAAATTAAAAATGTTATATCCGACGAGACATCTTCTTAATATAGAGGTTAAAACCTTGCTGTGTGATTCTTTAATATTATCGAAATTTAATTACGGGGATGTGATATATGGGCCCTGTTTATTGAAAATTGATGAGCAGCGTATACAGAGGGTGCAGAACGCATGTTTACGATACATCTATGGCGTAAGAAAATTTGAAAGAATTTCTCACAGGTTAGGTGATGCTGGATGGTTAAATATGTACAGAAGGAGAATCGCGCATACATGCTTTTTTTATTATAAAATTATCAAAATGCAGAAACCAGAGTACCTCCTAAATAAGATACGATACCGTTCGGATGTTCATAATCTGAATCTAAGATTCAGGGGTTTACTTACCCCACCTACACATAGAACGGAGATATTTAAACGGTCGTTCAGTTATCAAATAGTCAATTTATTTAATGTCATACCGGAAAATATCAAAATATTAACAGCATACTCCTTTAGAAGACGCATACGCTGTGCCCTGTACGGGGAGCAACTTCACCAAATCGATCAAAATTTGATTACTAGCAGAATAAATAGCGTGCATGATTGGGTGG